CCTCGCTCAGCCAGTGAGCGGGAACCGGTCTGTATGTGGGATCCGAACCCTCGGCAGGAGCGCCGCCGCGCTTCCCAAGTGGCACACTGTAGCAGTGCGCCACCGGGCCGGCCCTATAGATTTTTAAGGCTATTCAACGAAAAGATGAAAATTTATGGCGCTGTCACCCAATTTGTGGCCATTGAGCCATTTTCCGGTCCTTTTTTCTCTTGGTTTACCAATGAAGTCCCAAACGCAGGCTGGATGGGGACCCTTGGGCGCCTGCCTCAGCCCCAGCCTCCAAGCGGGTCTTCTCCAGCCGCTGTCCCATCCTGTCTTCTGGCCCCCAGACCACTGTGTGCTAGCCAGCATCCTGGGGTCTGCTCTCCCGTGGAACGTTCACTTGGGTTCTGCCCGGTTGTGCCCCTGTGCTGAGGACTGTCGTCTGGGGGGCTGCGGCTCACAGCCAGGCTGCAGGTGGCTGCCAGCTGCCAAGGCGGGGCTCTCCTTTCAGCTGACAGGGGCTTCCGTCCTCACAGAGAGCAGTGTCCTGGCTGCGCGTGGTGGTGGTGGGCTGCTCTGGACAGGCAGGGCTGGGGGTACACACGCTGTGCTCTGAACCCTCCTCCCCTGCCACTGGCCATCGCTGCTTCTGGGCAGGGCCCTGCTGCAACCTCTGTCCAGGGAGAGTGGGTTCCGGGCTGATGGACTGAGATGGCCGGGCAGGCTCCTGGGGTGGGTTCTGGGGCTGAGGGGCCCAGGTTGGCCCGCGGCTTGCCAGGGAAGTGTGGCCCCAGGAGGAAGTGCCCACAGCTACCTCCCTCCACCAGTGGCCTGCGTTGGGTGTGTGGTTGTTGGGACTGGAGAGAAATTCGGGGTTAATGAGCTCCCCAAGGGGCTTGGTGGGGGCGGGGACAGGAGATGTCAGGAGAGGACGCAGGGCACACGTGGACATGACCAGCTGTCCCCAGAGCGGAATCCCTGAAGGTTCCTCAGGCTGGTGAGGACCTTTACTGAGGCCGTCAAGCCGAGGGTCCCCCAGGCAAGAGCAGGTTCCTTGCATCTTCCTTCCATCCAACCCTCAAGAAAAAAACACCACCTATTTCTTTTCCTGATCAGAAGATTCAGTACATGCTGCTCTATTTAAAAAATCAGAGAAGGACCCAGATAAGGACTGAGAAAGTTCCCAGAAGCCCCCTGAGCACCAGGCAGGCTCTGCCTGAGCCCTTCCGTGCTTTCCACGCTGCTCCTTTGCATGGTGACGTCCCAGTGTGTGCAGAGGCCCTCGCATTGTTCCCGGCGGGGCCCACTCCTGCTGTGGGTCAGTCCTTTGTGCACCTACGCACTGGTGGGGCACCTGGGGTGTTACCAGGTTTCCAGGGGTCAGCAGCACAGCATGGCCTCCCTGGTCACACCTCTGCCCTGTGCTGGTTTTCCCCTTTGAATGCACTTGAAGGGGTCGGTGCTGGGCCAGGTGAAGCTACAGCCTCTGGCTGTGCCATCCCATGTCCCCCGTCCTTCACCATGGCATGTCCTGGTGACCAGCAGGTAGGAGCTGAGATTGCTCCTCCAAGAGAAAGAATTCCCAGAGGCCTCTGGCTCCTCCCCATCCCTCCCCTCTCACCCTCTGCACACCTTTGCTGGCCCTAGCAGCCCCTAGGAAGGTCCTGAGCCCCGTGTTTTGAGTCTGAGGGTCTTACTTTCTTACATTTGGTGGCTGCAGGCTCCGGGGTCTACATCACGCGCGGCCAGCTGATGAACTGCCACCTCTGCGCAGGGGTGAAGCATAAGGTCCTGCTGCGGAGGCTCCTGGCCACCTTCTTTGACAGGTAGGGTGGGGTGGGGGTGGGGCAGAGTGGGGCTGCAGCAGGTGCTGGGGTCTCCTTCAGCTGTGTGCCATCTGACGGCCAAGGGCTCCAGCATCTGGAGCCCCCACACTGTCCTGGATTCACGACACAGCCTCTCAGCCCGAGGGCAGTTGAGAGGCTCCCGGGAAAGTGGCACATCCTCTTAGACTAGGACTTGGGTCTAGGGAGGGATTGGCAATTTGCTTTCCTGGCCTTTCCCAAAGGGCTTGTGGATTCCCCACCGCCACCAAAATAAAGTGACTCAGGTGGATGGATGGGTCAACACAGCCCCTTCCCCAGAGCATAGCAACTTGCTCAGATGACCTGGGGTCCCTGTGGACAAGGCTCAGGACTGGCCTGGTCATCATCTCACCTGTGCTGGTTTTCCCCTTTGAATGCACTTGAAGGGGTCGGTGCTGGGCCAGGTGAAGCTACAGCCTCTGGCTGTGCCATCCCATGTCCCCCGTCCTTCACCATGGCATGTCCTGGTGACCAGCAGGTAGGAGCTGAGATTGCTCCTCCAAGAGAAAGAATTCCCAGAGGCCTCTGGCTCCTCCCCATCCCTCCCCTCTCACCCTCTGCACACCTTTGCTGGCCCTAGCAGCCCCTAGGAAGGTCCTGAGCCCCGTGTTTTGAGTCTGAGGGTCTTACTTTCTTACATTTGGTGGCTGCAGGCTCCGGGGTCTACATCACGCGCGGCCAGCTGATGAACTGCCACCTCTGCGCAGGGGTGAAGCATAAGGTCCTGCTGCGGAGGCTCCTGGCCACCTTCTTTGACAGGTAGGGTGGGGTGGGGGTGGGGCAGAGTGGGGCTGCAGCAGGTGCTGGGGTCTCCTTCAGCTGTGTGCCATCTGACGGCCAAGGGCTCCAGCATCTGGAGCCCCCACACTGTCCTGGATTCACGACACAGCCTCTCAGCCCGAGGGCAGTTGAGAGGCTCCCGGGAAAGTGGCACATCCTCTTAGACTAGGACTTGGGTCTAGNAGGGCAGTTGAGAGGCTCCCGGGAAAGTGGCACATCCTCTTAGACTAGGACTTGGGTCTAGGGAGGGATTGGCAATTTGCTTTCCTGGCCTTTCCCAAAGGGCTTGTGGATTCCCCACCGCCACCAAAATAAAGTGACTCAGGTGGATGGATGGGTCAACACAGCCCCTTCCCCAGAGCATAGCAACTTGCTCAGATGACCTGGGGTCCCTGTGGACAAGGCTCAGGACTGGCCTGGTCATCATCTCAGCCCGGGAGGATTTTCCTTTGTCCTGTCCCTTAGAGGATGGCTGGGCCTGCTTCCTGCCACTGGACCATGACCCTCAGGACACACACACCAGTTCAACGGTGAGGCCATGTGGCCTCCCAGCAGGGTGGGATTCTGCCTCCTCCAGCTGGCGGGCAGGTGGGGAAGCCCCTGCTCCTTGGGTCACCTCCAGGCCTGATCCCTCCCTCACACTGCCTCCGCTGCCCGTCTCTCCACCAGGAACACACTGGCCAACAGCTGTGGGACGGGCATCCGCTCGTCTACCAGCGACCCGAGCCGCAAGCCTCTGGACAGCCGTGTCCTGAATGCTGTGAAATGTAAGACAGCCTGGGGTCTTCTGGGGGGGGTCTGGAGGAGCTCTGGAAGCCCCCTCTGGGGCTGGACCCCCACCTACGGAAGGCTGGGGGGGCCCCAAGCGTTAGCCGCAGCCACAGCAGAAAAGAGCAGCTCCCAGAAGCCAGGTCTCGAGGTGCTAACGTTCTTGGTAGGTTTCCAAGCGTGATGAATTCAGCTGCGAAACTATTTTAATATGTGAAATAGATCTAATTTTCCTTTTTGAACAAAACCCCTTATTTACATTTTGCGGTTATTTTGAGCCTTTGCCATCTGTTCGGCCGGCTCCTGCCTCCCGCTCCTGGGTGTGTGGGGGTGGAGCCCGGTCCATCTCCGTTGGCAGGCCGCCGCCCCCGCCACCACCCCTGCTGGAGATGCTGACAGCCGCCGCACAGGCCACACCGGCCAAGGCACAGCCTCCCTTGACCATCAGCACAAGAAACACCACCTTATTTTCTTGGTTTAAAAAACCACCTGGGAGGTCGATTCTGGTTTAGAGCCAAGCAGAGCCTCTGCAGTGGGTAATTATAGCCCCAGAGCATGGGGTGACAGCTGGGGTGACAGCCACGGTGATAGCCGGGGTTCTGGGAGGATGTGGCTGAAGCTGTCCCGAAGCAGGGATCCCACTTGGGGAGCTGCCCCAGAGATCTTCCTCCTCCGGGTTCAAGCCCAGCCTTGGTCTGTGGCTCCGGGTGGAGAAAGAAGAGTTTTTTATGTAACTGGCGATGACCACCGTCTGTCCCTCACTTCCTCTGGATTGGGGACGGGGACAAGGAGGGGTCTTAGAAAGCTGCTTCCTTGCCTACTCCAATGAGGAGGGCCCTCTGATCCGTTCCAAATTGCAGGAGGAGGTCAGGAGACCTGTAGAAGTTAGAAATAAGCCGAAGCCTTGCAGCCAGGAGGGCACCCAGGGCTGCTGGACCCTACTGGGCCAGAGATTGCCCCAGGGGAGTGTAGGGGGCCTCCTGGATGGAGTGGCGATAAAGAGGCCCACTGGTGATACAGCTGAGACCAAGAGAGCCTGGGTGGCCACATGGTCTCCTGTGCCAGCAGGGACCGAGGTGGAAGCCCCCTGGCCCCACTGGCCCCGGGAGCAGCCGTTCCAGCACACAAGTGCCCTGACCCTGAGGCATATACGGGGCATCTTGGTTCTGTGTCCCCTTGGGAAGCGGTGGGCGCCGCAGTGGGTGGGTGGCCGCTCTCACATGCGCCTCCCCGGCCGCCCTGTCCTTGCAGTGTACTGTCAGAACTTCGCCCCCAGCTTCAAGGAAAGCGAGATGAACGTGATCGCCGCGGACATGTGCACCAATGCCCGCCGCGTCCGCAAGCGCTGGCTGCCCAAGATCAAGTCCATGCTGCCGGAGGGCGTGGAGATGTACCGCACCGTCATGGGCTCCGCAGCCGCCAGCGTGCCCCTCGACCCCGAGTTCCCGCCCGCCGCGGCGCAGGTGTTCGAGCAGCGCATCTACGCCGAGCGTCGGAGCGACGCTGCCACCATCGTGGCTCTGAGAACTGACGCTGTGAATGTTGATCTGAGTGCTACCAACCCTGCCTTTGAAGCCGGCGAGGAGGCGGACGGGGCCGGCTCGGTAATCCAGGAGGTGGCCGCTCCCGAGCCACTGTCCTCCGATGGCCAGAGCCCCCCGCAGCCCTTCGAGCAGGGCAGCGCCAGCTCCAGCCGGCCCCAGACGCCGGCGGCCGCGGCCAGGAGGCCGGAGGGCACCTACGCGGGGACTTTGTAAGAGGGTCGCGCCGACTCGTGAGGGACCGAGTACTAGAGCTGCTTGCATGCGATACTAATACAAACAAATGTGATCAAGCCACTCACCTACTGAACTGCTGCTGTTGCCTGGAAACAATGTGATTTTTATCCTGCTCGTATTTAAATTGATGAAGGAAACAAATTCATTCATTATACTGTAAACACTTAGGCCACTGGCGACCTCTGTGCGAGGAAGGTCCCAGGGCTCCTTTTTGATATTCAAGAGGTTAGTCTCCAAGTTGTAGCTTCCCTCCCCCGTCCCGGGGAGGGGCAAGAGGCCGCCGGGCCCCTGGTGCCC